AAAGTAAAAAAAAAGATTTGTCATGTTTCCAAGACAGAAACGTGAGTTTCCATCGTGTTTCCAAACGTGACGTTTCTTGGAGTTTCCGAAAGTTTCTGTTTCCAAAATTTTATTTTTATATATGCTAATGTTAGCTTTTACAGTTTTTAATTTAGAATTAAAATTATATGATTTAAATTTTTGGTGTTTTTTTACTTCACCAAAAATAAATCAAAAGTTAAGACTTACGCTGTCAATGAGTTCTTCAATATTACTTGATCCATGAATCATAGATGTATCTTTGTTTCCTCGTGTTTATAGTGATCTGTTGACTTGTAAAAGAAAACAACTTTATAAATTTAGGTGTTGTTTATAATGTATTAGAGAAACGATAATACTCATATATATATGAGCATGAAATTAGCATAACTTTCCATCTTAATCTTCAATTCCCAGTAGGTGACATAATCATGTTTCATAGTCAATCTTATATATCTGCTTATTCAAGTAAAAAAATTGATATTAGTAACGTTTTTATGTAAATAAAAAATATTTGTAACGTTTTTATGTAAATAAAAAATATTTGAAACAAACATACCTTTTAAATTGTTTCACCTTAAATTTTATTTTTGTTCCAGATTCTCAATACACAGGCTGATTGAATCAGACTCTTTAGATGAGGCTCTTTAGATGAATATCTGAAACAAACCATGAAGTCAAAACATATGAAAATAAACAAAATAAAAGGTATTATAATTCAGCTAAATAAATAAATTAGAGAAATCGACTTGTCAATAGAAGCAATATTTATACAAAAATAAAAAATCTACAAACGTTTTAAGTATCTAGAAAAAATCTCTCTTCATTAAAATGTGTATTTAGATGTAGAAATTGTTTTCATAATAGTTATGGTTCCTACAATTATGAAGAAAGAATTGGTAAATAAACAATAATCTACCATTTCGAATTAAGGCTTTTTTATCTCGTCAAGCTTTTTCATGTGCTTTTACATCGGGTTGAAGATCAGATCTTTGCATCTGAAAAATGAAATATTTAATTAAGAGGATTAGAACAATACTATTACGTATGTGTATACAATACGTCACACATAGACCATATTGCATTTGTTGCACTGTAAAAGAAACGCACTGAATCATTCACAATTACGTTTCATAGATTTTTAGTCTCATAAAAAATACATACTTTTGGTTTTACCTTTAAACGGATCATAAAACAGTTTTCAATCGTTTCCCAAACAGCTTCCCATGTTCCTCTGTGTTATATATCAGCCCTTGCGTCTTCATGAACCACCACAATCTCCCTCTTAGATGTTTTACGTATCACATCGATGCCATAAGTGTAGATACGTGGAGTTTTTATCTGCAGTGACAAAAGAAAAAAATAATATTATTAACTTTATTTTGGCACACAAAATCTTAAGTCAAACCGAGTTAGTTTGAAATACCTAAATACCTTTATTTATAGACAGAAAGCTTGTACATAATTTAGGTTTAGCCGACTAATCTAAATATATTTAACTACAAAGATCTTAACAAAATTTATGATTAAAAGCTATCCTTATATATAACTAAATTTATGATTGAAAAAGAAAAATATTTGATTCCCATAATATACGGAATTATAAGTTTGAAGATTCATTACGATTTGAATTTTTAAAAATCAAAATTATGTTCAAAAATAAATTTTTGTTTCCTTAACTACAAAATATTTACGTGGTTAACAATTTTTGAAAGATTTTAGATTTTATAGTTAATAATAACTATATTTTAGGAAAATTCGAATATTTTGTTCACTTTTTTATTGGTGTTTGTTGTAGTTGCTTAATACAGGAGATTTGAATTTGCGTTTTGAATATATTCGAATAAATATACAATTGTTATGGCAAGTACTAAGATTTTGGATGCTATATATATTTCTGATTTAGTAAATTAAAAATATCATTCTATTTGTATTTATCTTTGCCAATCTGCGAAGTACACGTAGACAAAAAATTTTGAGACAATCCTGATTCAGAGATTTTGGAAATATCTATTAATATATTATCAAATTTAATTAGTTTACATATATACAATTTCGCTTTTTTCTTCCATATACACTAATCATAATTAATTAGTATAGTTTAGTTAAGAAAATATTTTAAAATCTAAACTAAATTTCGTTGTATGATTACAAATTATTTGTACCTAAACAAAATTCATGTTTGTTATATTTTTGATTGGCCTCCTATATATTAGATAATCTTTTAATATCTTTAAACCCGTATGACCCATTGACCCGTTTTTTAATGAATTAGTTAATATTAGTGACATGAAATTAAAATGATTATGATTAAAAATTTCTAATGGCATATATTGTAATTTCTTATAAAATCAACGTTACAACTTATAGGATGTACATGATATATCATTTTCAATTTTCAATAACATTTTCAATTTTCAATAACATTTTCGCTAACATTTTCGAATAATGGATTAGTATATAACATTTTCAATAATACTTTGGAAATATATGATTACTATAATTCAAAATAACATTTTCTTTATAAATTCAAATTATATAAAAAAATCAATGATATATCATTTTCAATAACATTTTCTAATAATGGATTAGTATATAACATTTTGAATAATATTTTCGAATAATTTACTGATAACTTAGAACGTTAATATATTATCAAATTTAATTAGTTTACATATATACAATTTCGCTTTTTTCTTCCATATACACTAATCATAATTAATTAGTATAGTTTAGTTAAGAAAATATTTTAAAATCTAAACTAAATTTCGTTGTATGATTACAAATTATTTGTACCTAAACAAAATTCATGTTTGTTATATTTTTGATTGGCCTCCTATATATTAGATAATCTTTTAATATCTTTAAACCCGTATGACCCATTGACCCGTTTTTTAATGAATTAGTTAATATTAGTGACATGAAATTAAAATGATTATGATTAAAAATTTCTAATGGCATATATTGTAATTTCTTATAAAATCAACGTTACAACTTATAGGATGTACATGATATATCATTTTCAATTTTCAATAACATTTTCAATTTTCAATAACATTTTCGCTAACATTTTCGAATAATGGATTAGTATATAACATTTTCAATAATACTTTGGAAATATATGATTACTATAATTCAAAATAACATTTTCTTTATAAATTCAAATTATATAAAAAAAATCAATGATATATCATTTTCAATAACATTTTCGAATAATGGATTAGTATATAACATTTTGAATAATATTTTCGAATAATTTACTGATAACTTAGAACGTTAATATATGATTACTATAATTCAAAATAACATTTTTTATAAATTCGAATTATATAATTTTTTTTTATAAATTCGAATTATATATAAACAAAATCTCTTTAATATCTTTAAACCTATTTAACCCGTTGACCCGTTAATATATATTAGTGACATGGAATAAAATAATTATTATTAGAATTCTCTAATGGCATATATTGTAATTTTTTACAAAATCAACGTTACGATCCTTAGGATGTACTTCCCAAATATTAGTATAGGATAAACATGCGGCATTAACTGTGAAAACCTCTTTTATGTAATTCATTAACTAAATTTTCGAAAACGAAATATAATGTGAACATAGCAATAGACGTTTATATATTACTTGTCATTTTCACGGGGTTTTAGATAGTTTCTAAATTTCTTTGTTACTTCGTTTATTCAAAAGTAGCACTCCCTCCCTATCTACGGTTATTGCGGTTACGGTTATTGTCGTTACGGTTTATTAACTACCGGTTACGGTTATAAATTTTCTCTAACCGTAACCTTAACCACTATATATACGGTTAAAACGGTTACGGTTAAAACGGTTACGGTTAAATACGGTTACGGTTACAATGGTTACGGTTAAATACGGTTACAATTATTTAATTATTACGATATGGTTAATATCAAAGACAAAAGCTTGGAATTTTTTTTAACCTTTAGAATAAAATATTTAACGATAATATATCAAATAATATTTATTTTATAGTATGTAATATATGTGATTATATGCTTATAATATTTATAGTTAATTAGCTATTTTGTTTAGTTAAGTAAACCAACGAATAACTAAATAAATGTTCATAATTATAATGATTGAGTTATTGTCTTATTGTCTTATTCCAAACAATACTATAGAAAGAAAGTTGTGAGAATTAAGAAACGAGTATCTGAGTATAAATAATAACTATGTAAATTATTTTATGATTTGATTTATAAAAAGGGAGTAGTGGAGTTCATTAAATGTAATAGTGGAATAATAATGTATTTAAAGTTTTAACTGCATGGTTAATTATGCGGTTAACCGTGTGGTTAACCGTACGGTTAACTAACGGTTTTGATACGTTTACGGTTAATTAACGGTTACGGTTAGTATATTTTTAACCGTAACTAATCTATTTTTACGGTTAACGGTTACGGTTTTCAACCGTTTTATACGGTTACGGTCCGGTTACGGTTGAAAAACGGTCCGGTTACGGTTGAAAAACGGTCCGGTTACGGTCCGAAATACGGTTACGGTTAGCTTTTGGTCATGCCTATCCCTATCATAAAGATTGATTTTTGAGGTTTCATTTTTGTATAAAAAAGATTGATTTTCTGTAAATTTTTATCAATTAATGTTAATAAATTGTGAATTTCAAGAATCATTAATTGAGAATTTTAAAATTTGATGAATTACTATTGGTTGATAGGTATGAAAAATGGTTTGGTATGACTAAATAATGTATTTATAACTAAACATTAAATGTATTTCTAGTGTGAAAACTCTATAATTTATAATTCATAATTCATAATTTATCATTTCTTATTTATATTTTACTTTGGCTTCCAAAAATTATTTACTATCCTAATAAATATCGATGTCCAAAGTATCATACAAAAAGATTGATGATATTAATAAGTGGATGCATGAGTTGTAATTTCTTAGCAAAAAATAAAAAATTGTGTTTAATTATTTGTGTCAAAAGTCGTTTGGTTATCTTTTCCATCAAATTGTAAACGAAAGATCTATTTATTTATTACAATGATAAATTCATCTAATAAACATGCAAGTTCCATCATTATAATTTTAGTTCCTTTCACACACAATAAAACTTTTCTTCAAAATTTTAGAATTAACATAAAAAACTTGTCAAAACGTAATTTAGCCGTCAAATAATTAAATACTCAATGGCCAAGTCTTACTACTATACTCTAAAAATAGAAGAGTAGACTTAGCTCACCAAAAAGACTAGTTCAGATTTAGTACCAAAACCAGAGAAAATCTCTCCTTTTAAACCACTTTTCTACAACTTCCTCACTTAACTCTTCTGCATAAATACCAAACGAGTGAAGCCCTCGAGGTTTAGCAAAGAGAACACACAAGATGGGTCTCAATGCCTCCCTTTATCTCCTCTCCCTCACCATCTTACTCGTCTTCTCTAAGGTCGTTACAGCGAATAACATCACGCTGGCCTTTCAGAAATACTCCAAATTCAGCATCATGAGCAACCTTTTCATCAAGACCAAGCTCATTGTACCTATCAGCAAATACCAGACGATAACCGTGCTTGCTGTTAGCAATGACGCTATAAGCTCCATCACTAACAGATCCGAAGTTGAGCTCAGGAACATCCTCATGACTCATGTTATTCTTGACTACTACGATGAGCTTAAGCTTCAGGGGATGAGGGAGAAGAGTATAATGCTTACTACCTTATACCAGACCACCGGTTTGGGTGAACAGATGAATGGTTTCTTGAACGTTTCCAAATCTGAAGGAAGAGTTTACTTTGGATCGGAAGTGAAGAACTCACCTTTAAACGCTGAGTATGTCTCGACGGTGTACCACAATCCTTTTAACCTCTCTATAATCCAGATCACCATGCCAATAGTGGCTCCTGGACTCAGCCTTGCAATTTTCCCACCTCCACCACCACCCGTTCCTGTATCTCCATCTCCAACTCCCATGGATGCTTCAGTGGTTCCAGGTCCATCTCCCATGAATGCTGCAACAGCTCCAGGACCAGCTGCTGATGACAATTCCTCAGATTCTGCTGTCCCAAAAACCCCACCTGCAACTGCAACAGCAACAGACACACCGGAGGCTGATTCTCCAGCTCCTGCTCCAAGCGCCGATAATGAGAAGATTGAAGCTGCTGATAAGGCTAAACCATCTTCTTCTGCTTCTAAGGCTGGTTCGAGCTTTGATGTCATTCTCTTGCTAGCATTTTTGGCTAGCTTTGCTGGGTTCTAAGATGGGTGATGTGGGTTAAAGACAATAATGGTAGGTGAGATTCAAAACAATTTTTCTGTAGCTTTTTTAACTAAGAAGAGAGACACGACCATTGGAAGTGAAAACCTAAATGTGATGAGCTTTCTTCTCATCATGCATTGTATTTATCAGCCATTTTGCAAATGTGATGTTTGTCCTATTGATTTTGTAACACAATTCTAAGTGTTAGAACCATGCTTTTACTAATGCAAAGGATGTTAAAAGTAAAACCATGCACATTCCCAACAACAACAAAAACACACTTCTGCATCGGGTTGCTTCAAGCAACGAGATAAATCAAAAACTAACCTTACAAATACGAGTTAATCCCAAAAACTACAGAGTTCATTCTCTATCAACTAAGCCAATCATGCATTGCCAAACGACGGGACTGCACTTACAGTGCTCATACCGAAACAATAAAAGTGAACCTAACGAACCTGACATTGCTCTAGAAAGTTTTCTACAGAAACCTAATTGATTTAACTGAGACTGAGGCAGAAACATAGAACAGAACCGGCACAAGAAAAGCCTATTTGCAGTCTGTAGCTGTCCCTCATTTGATTTTCTTTATGATGTCCTCGATGACTTCTTCCATATCAAGTGCCTTCATTGGTGCAAATGGACGTTTCATCTCCTGCATAATGAGATAAACATAATCTTCAATTTTTCTTGTCTAAGTTAATATCGAAAGGCAAAAACATATTCACAATGTATACTCACACTTAGCATAGTAAACTGCTTGGGTATATTTTCTTATTTAAAATTAGCATTCAACATGCGATGGAAAGCCAACTTATGATGTTCACAAGTGTCATTCCTGGTGACTTGTTTTCATTATAAGCAGAGCAGTATCAATCTTGTAATGAATAAGGATCAAGTTGATTATCGTTCTCATTTTCTTATGCATTAGTGGTGTTATGAGAATAGTACTAACAATAAACCTTTACTCAAACCGAACATATCATATGCAGAAGTGAGACAAATTGAGATTTGTTTATATAAGAATGAAAGTTTTACCAAAAGACTGATGAATGTTTCGCCACCTTCCTCCCGGATCTCGAAGCAACCCCGCCTTGGCTGTTCAAGCATATCACAAGAAAGAATTAGCAATGGAGAAGAAGATCTTATCAAGTATAATGTGAAAAGTATGCTCTACCGCATTAATCAAAACCAAGCATTCATGAATATATATATATATATATATTCATTTGGAGTAAAAAGCATTACCTTTTCAGGATTCAGAGTCACATTGACGCCAGGAACAGCTCCCTCCAAACCTTCCTTCACCTGAATAGCCCTTGTCTTGAAAGCATTGCATTGTTTACTTCCAAAACATAACATAAACAAAAACTCTTGTGAGGCTGAGACATAAGTATAGAAGCAAATTCCATTTCTCTCCCATTTGTAGAAGGAACATGTCCATTATACATACTAATTCAGCTTAAGCAAGACAAGAACACACACAGAAAGCAGATAGTCAAGTCCTCTTCACAAATGGTGAAACTATGAATGCGAGCTAAACATAAAAGGATAAATGAGTGGCCCAACTTCATTTCCCTCAGCATACTTTACGAAACCACTAATCACTGAAACCGAAAACTTATGCAGAATAAAGACGAAACCCTAACAAATATAAAATAGAAACCTAGCTGCTACACAGGGACACACAGGTCTCAACACATTGTTCAACTACCCCAAAGTTTTAGGCTTTTAAGTTCAATTTCAAAGAAAAAAACCCAAAGTTTTGCTCTTACGATTCCATCAATTATCTCTACAGAAATCGAAAACATTTATGCAAAAATTACCAGTGTTCTATAACAATCTTCGTCCTCGTAGGATCCTCAACTTCTGGCTCTTCCTCTTCCTTTTCAACTTCCTTCTTTCCCTTCTTGGCTCTCCCAGTCTCAATCGCTGAATTCTTCCTCTTCGCCTTCTTCGGGGACGCTAGCTTCACCGGCTTAGTGGCGGATCCAGCCGCTTTAGCACCGTTTTGTTGAGTCTGACTTCGAGTTCGACTGCCCATGCTCTGAGTCACTGTAGACGACGCCGTCGTCGTTAAAGGTTTCGCCTTTTCTTCACCATCTCCCTTACTCTTCCTCGGCGCCATTATACGGACAGCAACAGAGTTTCGTCTAAACAATCTTTTTCTCCGTTCGAGCTTCTCTGTCTGTCTTACCGCTGTTTCTTACATTTTGCCTCTAAAACGCACAGCTACTTACCGTTTTGATGGGATAGAACGATTTTCTTTTCATTCCACTTCTTCTTTTTTTTGACCTACAATATTTTGATTCCAGTTCATTTGGCTTTTTCTTAACTCAAAATAAATTGATATCATATTTGTTAAGAAATATTAATTTTCTGATTCACAAAGTAAGATAAAAGTCTGTATATCCTTCTAGCTTTTTAGCTTTTTGGTCACTGAGAACTTTTAAGAGATTTTACTAATAGTCCTATCCTTTTCTAGTTTATTATGACTTTAGCCATCAATCCAAATTTCCAATATATGATGATAGTTGAAAGTATAAGAATGTACTAGTGCTAAAATGTAATATGTTAATAAGTCGCATACTCATCATGGTGAACAAACATTCATACATTATGGTGACATTTGTTTGTTTGTTTGATAAAAATGCAGGGAAAGCTTTTGCAACAATGGGTGCATGTTGGAGAAATCTCAGTTAGCATTTTCACAACCAAGCTCCATTGGAAGATCTTTTGGAACTTGTTCATTCTTAGTTTACAAATCTCAGCTAATTGATACTCACTTTTCTTAAACAGCATACATTTCATCACATCACAACAATCATCTTCACTGTTACTCTATTTGTCTGTCTTTTACATATTGGCAAGTTGGCGAAATTTTGATTGGCTGATCCTGATCCCATAACAAACAAAAAGAGCAACACATAATCTTTTATTTCTATTGACCTATCTTTTTCTGCTTTCAATCTTCCATTATCCCCTTTATCTTCTAACTAATTGAACCATGTAGTTTTACTTTTTTAAAGTCTATTCATACAAATTACACTAATCCACACAACGACGAACCCTCTTACAGCTTCGAAGCATAAACCTTTTTTTTTTTCACTGAAAGATTTTCATTATATAATACAAGAGTGGAATACATGGGTGGAATACGTTTTTGGGATGCGTTTTCGAAATACAATACCGGCGGAAAACAAAGAAATCCCCAGAAGCTAAAGCCCGATACACGGGAAACATAAGAAAATATACTAAAGTCAAGAAGTGAAGCTCTCGAAATCATCGAAAAAGTCGGAGGAGAACAGAAACCGCGGAAATAAGAGCTCAAAGGTCGCAAGCTAGAGGACCTACCACCGCAAATGGAGAAGGACCAGGGATAGTGGAAACCGCGAAGACATATCCCAACTAAAAACGATTATCCCAAACATATGAAAACGCCGCGAATCTAATACCTAACCACCTAGTCTTCTAACGAACAAGTCTAAATCTAGAACTTTGCATCCCCACAAGAGGTTAGCCTTACAAGAACAGAAAAGGAACAGACCACGAGAGAAAACCTACTTATTAATCTAAACTAGAGGCGGTGGAAGGAGACACACTTAAAAGATTCAACGAACAAAGAACAAAGAAGAGATAATGCGAAAGCTATCCACAACTAGCCAACACGACCAATCCCCGGAGCTTTCTAGATATAACAAAGAGCAAAACCATGACCCAGCAATTCCAAAGACTAAACCAACAACTACCAGAAGCTAACACAAACAAACAGCTAAAACCATCCGATAAGAGAAAGGCAATATGAGTTTCAACCCGACAAGGAACAGAAACGAAAAGTCTCTGTCACCTCGCAACCACCGGCGGCGGCCAACAACAGACAAAGCCACAACCTAACATCCGCAAGAGACCACCACACCAACTCTTAAAGCAGATCCATCCGCCACCACTTCCAGAAACGAGAAACATGCCTCTCCAAAAACACCACCTCGATAAGCACCGGTAGCTCCTCCACAAAACAGATTTTGTTCTCGAGAAAATCAGATATGAGAAGAGACTAAAATCGAAGGCCATGTCGTGACGAGGAGAGGAACCGCCAATTCATAGCACCACTCAACCCAACCTTAAGCCAGAAGCTTCATCAAAAATGAACCACCGCAACCTAGAAACCCATCTCGCCTTCTCGGATCTTCAATCACAGCCTCACCAAACATAAAACGAGAAACAAAAGCAAAACTATAACAGGGGCGAGGAGGCCGGATCCGGTGCTAGGAGAGCCACCGCAATCCAGCCTCAGATTCTAGAACTTTTTTTTTTTTTCCACTGGCGGCTGTCTCGAGAGAGAAACAAAGACTAGGGTTTTTGTCTTGTTTCTATGTTCGTAAGGTTTTACAATTAGTATCAAATTAAAAAAAATCCTTCGAAGCATAAACCTATGGAAAAAATTTGGGAATCTTTTCTAAAAACATAAGAAACTTGTATATATATTTTTTTTCAACAGAAACTTGTATTCTAAATCTACATAACGATGCGAAAACAACTTGAATTTGTGGAATCGCTAACGATCAATGACGGGATCCAAAATCCGGTTAGTTCAACATCGTCTTGTAATTTTATTATCCAAAATTCCATTGTTTAAAATTAGACATGTCAATTAGGGCCAAAGCCCGCGGGCTAGCCCGGCCCAACCCTGAAAAACAGCGGGTTCGGGCTTCAAAATATATGTCCAGAAAAAAACCGGCCTTTCGGACTAAGCCCGTTCGGGCTAAAGGGTTTTTTGGACTTAGCCCGGCCGGGCTCGGACTAGCCCGAAAAGCCCTTTAAAAAATATTTTGACCTTTTTTTTAATATTTTCGTTTAATTGCAAGATTTGTTGTAAAAAATTTTTTTGACAGAGTTGAAAACCCTAAACTTAGTTTTTTTTTGTTGTGTATTACTATAAATCGAAAAAGCAAATATTAGCTCTACTACCTAATTTGAATTATTTTGATTTTATATTTTATTTAGTATAAATTTAAATAATTTATTTGGATTATTTATTTGATTTTAACTCTCTTTTTTAAAAACTAAATTAGCGTTAGTGGTTATTTAAATTTTGATTGACTCGTTTCATATATAGATTTTTTTTTTAAGATATTAGAAATTATAATTTTTTTTTTTTTTTTATCGGAAGAAAAGCCCAAAAAAGCCCGGAAAAACCCTGTAGTCCTGTTAGGGCCGGGCCGGGCTTTAAAATATAGGCTCGGAATTTTTATGGGCCGGGCCGGGCTGGGCTCATATAGGTCTGGGCATAATACCCGAACCCGAAGAACCGAACCGAACCCGACCCGAAAAATCTGACCCGAAGTTTTAAAATACCCGAACGGGTTCTAAACTTCACAACCCGAAAACCCGAACCCGAACCCGACCCGAACTCGAACCCGAACAAGTACCCGAACATACCCAAAACATAAGTACATAGTTATAATATATTAGTAATATTTATACTTGTAATAACGTAATTGCCTAAATTATTCGGATGTTAAGATATTTTCGGGTGTTTTAGCTACTTTGAGTTAGATTCGAGTTAAAATACTTGGGTTTTATAGATTTTTTGAGTATTTTTCAATACTTCGCATAGAATCGGATACAAAATTTCTAATATTTGGATACTTTGGGTAAACCCGAATCCGAACCCGAAATACCAGATCCGAACCCGACCCGAACCCGAAATTTTAAAATACCCGAACGGGTCTTAGTTTTCTAAACCCGAAAAAACCGAACCCAAAAAACCCGACCCGAACCCGACCCGAATATCCGAACGCCCAGGCCTAGGCTCAGATATGTACGGGTTTTGCGGGCTTCGGGCCGGGCCGGGCCGGGCTAGCCCGATTGACATGCCTATTTAAAATTATAAGTCTCTGTCTAAAGACTTATAATGTTTTAAGCCGTGGGTGTTTCTTTGTCTAAAGACTAAAACAAGAAACCGAACATGATCCATATGTCTAATGATTTCAAGCCGTGGGTACCAAGAAGGATCAATGTTCGAATCTCAAGCCTCAGACTAAAGACTAAAGTTTGAAGCCGTGGGTACCATTTCCCTTCAACCAAACATAACCAAATCCAATCTTTTGTCTAAAGGATTGGTTATTTCGAACCTCAAGTCTCTGTCTAAAGACTTTTTTAATCCGTGGGTAACTGTTTCTTTCTCTAAAGACTGAAACAAGAAACCAAACATGATCCATATGTCTATAAATTTTCAAGCCGTCGGTACCAAGAAGGATCAATGTTCAATCTCAAGTCTCAGTCTAAAGTTTGAAGCTGTGGGTAGCATTTTCCATCAACCAACATAAGAATCTTGTATTTATTTTTTTTCAACGGAAACTTCTATGCTAAATCTACATAACGATGCGAAAACAAGTAGAATTTGTGGAATCGCTAACAATCAATGACGGGATCCAAAATCCGGTTAGATTAACATCGTCTTGTATATTTATTATCCAAGTTTCCATTGTTTAAAATTATAAGTCTCTGTCTAAAGACTTATAATGTTTTAAGCCGTGGGAGTTTGTTCATCTAAAGACTGAAACAAGAAACCAAACATGATCCATATGTCTAGTGATTTTCAAGCCGTGGGTACCAAGAAGGATCAATGTTCAGTCTCAGTCTCAGTCTAAAGACTAATGTCTGAAGCCGTGGGTACCATTTTCCTTGCACCAAACATAACCCAATCCAATGTTTTGTCTAAAGGATTGGTGTATTTGAATCTCAAGTCTCTGTCTAAAGACTTGTCATTTTTTAAGCCGTGTGTAACTGTTGTCTAAAGACTGAAACAAGAAATCGAACATGATCCATATGTCTAGAGATTTTCAAGCCGTGGGTACCAAGAAAGATCTATGTTCAGTCTCAAGTCTCAGTCTAAAGACTAAAGTTTTAAGCCGTATGGTACCATTTTCCTTGCACCAAACATAACCCATTCCAGTGTTTTGTCCCTCAAGTCTCTGTCTGAAGACCTGTCATTTTTGAAGCCGTGTTGGCTAAAGACTGAAACAAGAAACCAAACATGATCCATATGTCTAGTGATTTTCAAGCCGTGGGTACCAAGAAGGATCAATATTCAGTCTCAGTCTCTGTCTAAAGTCTTAAGCCGTGGGTACCATTTTCCTTGCACCAAACATAACCCAATCCAATGTTTTGTCTAAAGGATTGGTGTTTTTGAATCTCAAGTCTCTGTCTAAAGACTTGGCATTTTTTAAGCCGTGGGTTTCTTTGTCTAAAGACTCAAACAAGAAACCGAACATGATCCATATGTCTAGAGATTTTAAAGCCGTGGGTACCAAGAATGATCAATGTTCAGTCTCAAGTCTCAGTCTAAAGACTAAAGTTTAAAGCCGTGGGTAACTTGATCTTTGACCAGAAAACTGAACCCAATCCAAAGTATATTTGTCTAAATAATAAGCCGTGGGTAAAGGATCGGTTTTCAGTCTCAGGTCAAAATCCCTCATAAGCCAACTCGACGGGACAATGTCCCCAAGAAAGAATCTGACAGAACACTAATAGTTGAGTGTCTGCCTATGATCTCTCTTGGGTTAGAAAGAAAAACAATACAATGGAAGAAATCTAACAAAACAAAACAGCAAAACAATAGCAATAAAACCACAACCGATCGCTAAATTATACAAAGCGCTACAAAAACAAAACAAAACAAAACAAAACGATAACCAAACCAAACAGAAACAAAGAAACAACCTTTAATTCACTGAAACTTTGAAACGCAGAGTCGCGATTCGTTTGGTTTTGCAAATATCAAAGCCACGAAAAGAAAACCAAAAGAACAAAACAAAAAACATGATAATAGTGAAATTTAGAAACCCTAGAAATCAAGAGAATTGGAAGAATTCTTACAGTGGTTATCGCTACAAAACTTCTCCGGGCATGGATGATTCGATCGAGAGAAACATGAGAAACAGAGAAAGAACTGATAATAGTTAAATTAATAAACCCTAGAAATCAAGAGAATTAGAAGAATTCTTACAGTGATAAACAAATCGTCGTTCGTCATGAAATAGCGATCGAGAGAAATACGCCAAACAGAGAAAGAAGAAGGCAAAACAAAATTCTGAGTATCTGACGCTCTCTCATAAGCTTCCCCCTCTTTATAGACACTACTCACGGCGGTGCCAGCTGGCTGATTTCCTTTTTTGTAACGCCTAATTTCTTAGTTAATATAACTTTACTTTTTTCTAGTTTCCATTTATTAAACGTGGGCCTTATGTTAGCCCTAAATTAATGGGTTTGTTATCCAGGCCATAGTTTGGCGATCGTTTTTATTCAGCCTTTGTTTGTTTTTTATCAATCCATTAGAAAAAGTCAAATACAAAACTTAGAATTGTTAATTCTAGATAAAACAAAAGTTCCACTACAGTTCTAATCGAATTGTCAAGAAATAAAAAGAGTTTTGCTTAATTTCGACGGTGTGATATTTTCCAAGTAAACCCCATAAAAACAAGAAAAACTAGTCAAAGTTTCATGTATTTTGCAAGAAAAATTTGTTGATTTATTTCCTAAAGTTTGTTATTCTCTTAAAAGATTGTAAATACTAGTTAAAATAGGTGTTACTCAGAGTCAACAAATATAAAGTACAATCATAATTAAAAATTGTATCTCATATAATTCTAACAAACCCTATAAAATAAAATGCAATAAAATAAACCACAAATAAAAGTTTATAAATCAAATGTAAGGACATTTTTTTTAATAAAATGTTTTCCAGTAATCAACTGCAAATCAAATATTCAAATTTATATGTACAATAATTTGAAAACTTACTACTTTTGAAATACTAACCTGTAGTACTACTATATTTCATTATGTTATTTTATTACTTGAAAGTAAAAAAAGTCATCACAAAATATTTTAGATTAATGAAAGAAACCTTATTATCATTATTTAGGATATTAAAATAGCTCTCATGATTTGTTATGTTATTATGTATTGAAAAGGTAAAAATGATTATGGAGATTGAGAGACGCTAGAAGAGTTTCTTTGATTTATTTAGATGACCTCGTTCAATAAATTTACAAATTACTATCCTCAGTTGTTTCAAGAACTACCTTGTTATATGTAGGTTTATCTATTCATATCCTCTCAAAGAATCTCAGGATGTCTAGTTGCAGAACCAATTAAGGAAGCATTTAAGCTCATAGCTTCTCCTGCTGATGAAAGACAGTTAAAAAAAGAGAGCTCCTCCTCGCCTTCAACTTCCATTCAGTTTGGAGACAGTGTTACAAAGAGAAGTATTGAAAAGATGTCGAGCATCAGATGATAGATTAGATAACAAAGCAATTATATGTGAAGAAGAAGCTAAACCAGATGTTTGTGGGATTAGAGCGACTTGGGTCTCACCTTCTAACAGAAGAAAAGGCATAGCCACGTGGTTATTTGATACCACTAGGTAAAGGACTATAGAAAACCACCTAAAACAATTGTCATGGACCTCGCATGCTAGCACGCTAATGTTTGTTAAGCATAAACCAAAAAAAACACCAGGGCAGTTCTTGTTCTTGTCTGTGCCAGGCTCAAACCCAACTTTGAATCAAAGCAATATGAATGGTCCTAATATTTATCACACAAGGTGTATGCTTTGGTAAGAGCTTAACACAGACCAAACCAGACAATCCAGAATCTGATAAGCCTTTCAAACCAGCGAGGTGTAGTTAGGGAAGAGATACATCAATCGGTCCAGAGTTTCAGGATTAAACTTCCGAGCAAATAGGTAACATGGACGTTGCTCTCCTTTCCATAGACACGGCTTTACTGTCGTCACTTTCTGCATAGAGGATGGTTATGGATCAGTAACAGGAATTCCAAGAATCATGGTAATAAGAAGAAGGCTCCGGTGTTTTACCTTTAAATCGCTTGTGACATGGTAAGCAAGTTGGATGGACTGCATATCAGATAAAAACCACAAACTAAGATAGCAGAAAAGAAAAATCTAACTGAGCTTTGAGAAAGAGAAGAACAAGAGGAACCTTGATTTTCCTGATGAGGTAAGGAGTGATGTCTCTTGCATTGTATAGTTTCGGATGCCATTTGCCTTCTGACCAATCAACATGTGTCACTGACCAGTTTGCTATTCCATCTGGATCAATCATCTGAAAGAAAGAGATCATGAGCGGAGAGATTATGATGAAGTTAGAGGAAAATGAGTAATAAGAGGAAGACGCAAGCAAGCAGTACACTGACATTGAAAAGAGTTGGGAAATAATGCTCGTCCGCATAGCAGTTGCGTCCTTCCATATTCGGCTGTGACAAAATATGTATAGGCCGTTAAGGAAAATTCCGCTTGATTATACAAATGCTTACGATAAGACATTAATAGTGAAATTCCATGACATCAAAACATGTCTCAGTATTCCAACATATCGCCTCTATGCTATAAAGAAAGGAAAACACATGAGTTTTGTTTGAACATCACACAGCATGACCACTATGTAATAAGCTACAATCTCAATGGGCGGATCACTGTCTAACTTGACTAGATGACTTAGCTGATCACCAAATATGCAGAACACCATATTAAGGGAGATTTGGAGAAATACGTGTCACCAGATAGAATTTAAGGACATACTACAAGATATGGTATGGCTGGTTATTATCAACTATCATGTGAATGTGAAAACGCATGAAATTGAAGGCTTGCTTACCCTACAATAAAGCTTGAATTTTGTGTAGTAAAGGCTGTCCGCCATGACGACTATAGCATGTCTCCTCTTCATTGAAAACCACTGGAAAAGATGATTATAAAGACACAGGAAAATGTCAAGCTTAAATAGAACTAACTGGATAAGAAATGCAACCATCATTATCAGGAATGAGAACCAAGGGAGGGATGATAAAAGCATGGAGAGAAGAAAGGTAACATCCATGACTACAATAAAAACATGACTATTGTTTTTGTCTGAACTGTAAAAATCCCTCCAACAAACATTTTGCAGGAAGAAGAAAGGGGAAAATATGATATCTTATCACATAACACATTAACGTATACCTGTGAGCCCTTCCGAAAATCCTTCTTTTCAACCTCAGGCAGCATATGTTGTGAATACCGACCAGATCCATGTGGTCCAGGATCCTCAAAACTGGAAAAATGCAAGATGAAGATACTTAATACCAGAGAAGACAGGATGACAGCGAGACATAAAACTTAAAAGAGGTTCAACCGCATGAGTAAACTGTAGGCACAATCATACAACTTACCAATCAATGAAGCTGAGATTCGCGAAGATCAAGTGATTATAGATATAGTTAAAGTCGAATAGCGGTACACAACTGCCAAATAACAAGGAAGAAGATGGTAAGGGTAGGATTAGTAAAGCATAACATCAAGACCTTAGGACATTTGATATGAAAGAAACAATAATTCAATCACCTATCTGAAAGTAACACAAAGTGTTGATTATCAGGATCAACGAGAGCATGAGCTAATAGCCTTCTTTCTGCGTCAACCATGGATATCTGACCCCAAGCAACCTGCACAAGATTATCATACTAAAGCTACCTATAGGAGTCACTACTAATCAAATTTTATGCATAAAACCGGCTGAATGATGTAACCAAACTCATTTACCTTGTGACTGTGAATATCTCGACCAACAAAATAGCTGCTTGTATGTACAGGACTTTTCTTTGACGCGTGCACATAAACTGAAAATTTGTTCTCATGACCCTGAATCAACAAAAAGGAACCACCACCATTTTGTCAAGTAGGATAAGAAATACGTTTGACAAAGAAGTCACATCTCTAAGAAACTCCAACTGATTAAAGGACACTGTAATGAGAAATTCTTACACGGAAGAACATTTCCCACAGAGGCTCAAAAGGTAGCGTCCCTGGTGTTAAGAACATAAAGGCTATCTTGGGATTTGCTGTCTTAGATTGAGGTAGGTTCATGATTTCATTCATGACAACTTGAGCTGCAGCTTCAGAGTCAGTCAATTCCCTCGACGGTACAAACAAAAACTGTTGGTATAAAGGACATCCAGGACGAGAAAACATATAGCAAGCCACAGAATTCCGCGGAGGATATATGAATGCGGTGATGACAACAACCGTAACCAGAACAACCAAAGTGATAATCCATCTGGGGCCCTTAAAAGGAGGCCTTTGACGAGACTCTGACATAACCGCAATATCTCTTAAGCTACTGTTTGAAGTATCAAATCCATCTTATAGTCTTCTTTAACAGTCTCACTCTTCAGAATCCCTGAACATAAAGAGAGCCATTAATCACTGAGAGCTTGCAATGTGCAAATTGAAAATTGAATCCAGATTCAATTTGTCAAAAACAGAACATCAAGCAATGAAAATATGAGATTGAAGAACAAAACCACCAAATATCATTTGAACCACATCCAAAAGACTCAATTCCTATAATCGGAAAATGTAATTCAAAATTTCGATGCGCGTGGCAAAGATCATCAGTGTCGTCATCGTAAAAATTACCGTAGACAAGATAGAAACTGGTAAAGCGTTGAGATAATCATAATCGAGCTCAATGAAACAGGTATATAAATAAAAGAACACAGAAAATGGATTCAGAGCGTAAGGAAGAAGACGAACATCAAAAGATCGATCGAACCATCAAAATAACCAGTGGCGCAGAGCCGCCGCCACGGCACTCGGCGGAATAAGCGGAGGATAAGAACAAAAGCAGGTGAAAGCGAATAAGAATCCCTCGAGTAAGAATCTGGAGATCGAAGAATCCTCTGATGTCCCACAAATCCAAAGCGCCTCTCTCCTTTTTTTTTTTCTCTTTTCCTGAGCACTAGAAACGGTCACTGTAGCTCCAAATGAGGAACGAACGGACTTCTCTTTTTCAATTTTCAACAAAGTATTTTTTAACTCATAATCCCTATTATTAATTTTTGTTTCTTTTGGTAATTAATCCCACTATATTATTTGGTGGAAAAAACCTTTGAACAACTCATATTTTTTTCAATAAGAATTTACTTTGGTGAGTTAGTAGATTTGTAAAATCAGAAAATCTAAAGAAATAAATTAGATTGTTCTGGAGATTTATTTCCAATTTAGTATCATGCAAAAGTTTTAAAACTAGTGACAGAACGATGTCGTATTGTGAGAACCACACACACACCACTCCGCCGAATAGATAAACGGCAAGACGTTTGCAGTAGAAGGAAACTGGAAAGACAAGTCAGCAATAATGGGACCCGATGCACGTACCTACCCCAATACAAGTAACGAAGAGCCGCGTCTCTCAATCAAGAATCGACGTTCCATCTTCTACTCCGTAATTTATAAAACGTCTCCGCTGTAACCCTAAAATTATAGAGATCTTCTAAAGCCAACAAACAGAAGTAGTTCTGTTTCGATTTCAAATTTCTCATTCAAAAGCATGAGCATGGAAGTAGATATGATTCTTGGTGATGCATCTGCTACAATAGATGCCAATCGTAATTATGCGGCGTTTCAGCTGAGTCTTGAGTGCGCAAAGAATGAATATCTGACCCATAGGGACCAGAGAGCGACCTATTACCTTGGAGGGATCTGCTGCTTAGTATTTTCGATCCTAAATCGGTTCTTGAAGAATCTGAATATCCCCAATTGTCTTCAATCTCAGGGACATCCCAGAAGTAACACATGCTCTTAACAAGAATTGTCCCAGCATTATAAATCTAAAAGAGGAAACTCAAAAGAAGCAACATACTAATTAAACAGGACGACATGTAGAATGAAATCAGACCCTAAAAGCCAAAAGGAAAGAGATAGAAAACTATGGAATGTGGGACAAGGAGTACGTAGAAACAATTTATGAAACATTATCATCCCCAAACAAACAGATGCTTCGCTATTGACTCAGAATTTGCATCAAAGTAGTCGATAATACGCTTGGTGGCTTCACACACTCCGCCAGAAGCGTAGTACTTGACATGAATATCAAAATAGTAGTCATTCACTACCTTGTTGCTGCCACCAAGCACTCTATTCTTCAATGAGCGTCGGAAAGTTTGCTCTTCTAAGTATAGAGCAGCTCGCAGGGTCCTCATGCAAGATCCTGTAATACTCAGGTGAGTCAGTTTCCTTTATTGCTTGATCTGCTTTTTTCCAATTGCTTACTTCAGTTGCTAACTCAGGAGCTTTGAGAACAGGGGAATCGGGATAAACAAGACATTCTTCGACAACACAATATCCTGCCATGTCTGTCAAAGAGAGGAAATTTTTAACATAAAGACAAACACTAGAGAAATGACGACAGTGGTCTGTGGTCATTGATGGTATCAAGGACAGCACTCAGAACAGCTTTACGGATCTGATGGTTCTGACCATACGAGTTTCGACAGCAGATAGCATCTTCCACATCATTGAACACTGAGATATATCCTTCTTCAATACAGCTAGCAACAGCACGAAGTGCTTTGAAACGCTTGTTAGAAAATTCTCTAAAGTTTGATTCGTTGACATTCTTGTAAAGCATGATCACTAAGTAACCAAAGATAGCTCTTGCCTTTGGGACATCCATAATCTTTGGTGGGACAGTAAAACCATTTCTTGCGGCATCTGAAGGAATCTTTATGATTGTCAATCTCCTACCCATCGAACGAACAGCGGCTTGAAGCTCTTCTGCGTTTCCCGGAAATAAGCAACAGATCCCTCCGAGGTCAAAGGTTGCCGCCCTTTGGTCTCTATTGGTGGAGGGCACTTTCTTTGCACACTCAAGATTCATCTCGAAGGCTGAGTAATAGTTGTTACCTTTTGGAGATGGATCAGGCATAATCATATCTACTTCCATCTCAGTGAATCTCTTCCTTTTCACATTTGTCCTGGTGGCGTTTTCTTGCTCGTTGGTATTCGACATTTTTTTTGTACCAAGTTACTGTGAGTCTGTGACTTTGGGGTGTTAGAGGAAGTGGAAGTGGCGATGTTTATAAACAAGAAATCGAGTGTAAGTGGAAACGGTAAAGTGCCTTTAAGATAGATACATGCTTCTTTCTTGACTCAAATCGAGTCCCAAGACTTGTTGTTGGCCTCTCGACTACTATAGTTATGATGAATAATATCTCTCTTCATTATCTCTTCCACGTTTTGCGTTTTTCAAGGTTGGCTAAAACTTTTTGATGAATTTATGAAGGGACCAAGAGTTCATTTTGTAAGAAAATAATTTGAGGAAGAGAAAGAACCATGCTAGAGTTTAATGGAATATGAATGAAATAAGCATAAAGTTAAGTTGAGAAAGAAAAGACTACGAATGAAATTAAAGATATCGCAATATATATCCACGTGAAATAGAAAAATACACTAAAATACAACCAAGTTGCTAGAATTTCTCTAGTAATGTCTAACCTTCTGTGTAAAAATACTGAAATAAATTGTCCAAAACAATACAATATAGTAAAGGAAAGAAGTCAATACTTGTGCACAAAGAGCCTCTAAACACCCATCAGACACCAACTCGAGACTTTCCCTTCATTCAACAAGCAATCTGTCCGGTGACCTGACCTTAGAACAGTCCAACGACAATGGCGTTTTAACCTCGTGACCTGGAGCGATTAAGAAGCAACGGAATAAGATACAACGATGAGCATGGAAGCGACACATAATCACCTACTGTTATGTGGCATCAGATACTCAAAACCACATTCCAGCCAGATAAGCGACAATCGATAATCTGAGTTTGGCTGTTACTAACACTACATATTTGTTTAATTTCACACTAACTAGACTACATGATTTCCTCTGAGGATGGAAGCTAGAAAACTCATAACTAGAATACTTTTAAGAGAGAAGATGTTCCTCAGATAACCTACTCAATGTCGCTAATGTCAAGCAAAGTTAAACGTGAGAGTGTACCTCGACTATTTTGAGAGCGTGGAACAATGAATATCACTTGTCAGTGTGACCCCTTTTGGCCTTACGACGACCATGGTGATGAGGGTGTTTAACAGGTTTCTTTGTCTTTGTGCTGCGATAAAAAATCATATGAGATATTTCTATGATTAAGAATATTACATAAAATGACTAAATGGATTAATTAAAAGACTTGCCAGAAGAGAGAACAGAGCACTTTGTAAGCAACGAAGATGGGAAATACCAACAATGCAGAGGCCTACAGTGGATAGATTTTAGATTTGATGTTAGAGAGGAAACACATAAAGGATGCAGTCTCAGAATACATTCTATAAGAAAGTTAGGCAAATACCGCAAACCAAACAAACTCATTGGTAGCAAAAGGCTCTGTCAGCTCATGGTCTTTCAGTTTTCGTTCGATATGGGCTTGGACCTTCACAGATGAACACAGATTTTAGCTTTAAAAGTCGAGCATTTTTTTTGATGAGTCCAAGAAGTGGAATAACTCAGATTTATTTTTAGTATACATAAGAATGGTTTTGGTTTCAGACCTGATGGTGATAAGTTGTGGCGGATTCAAGGAACTCTGTATAGACGATGATCACCTTGGTTGTGTAAGGTTTCATCGCAACCTTCATTTTATCAACATGTGGTTTCGTGGTCGTGGCCACTTGGTCGACATATGGCTTGCTGAACTTTTTGGCCTCCTGGAAATTGTAACAAGCATTAAGTTTACATCCGTAAATATTAGCTGATTATTGTGTACCAAACCTATCAGTGAAAGAATAAACTGATAAAGACACTATACCTGATAATAGGGGTCTACAAATTCTTGAACCGTGGCAATGTGAGGGGAAACAGCACTCTTTGATGCATGGTAAGCCTCTTTAGCTTTGATGGATAGTGTTCGGACGTGTGGCTCAACATGTGTAGTAACGGTTTCCTTGATGGCTGGAATATATTTCTGCAAGTAGTGTCATAAAACATAGCGAATTATAACTCTAGAAATTGGTGACTCATCAAAAATGCAGGCATTCGATTAATGTCAAAGAAATTTACAACAAAAAAAAAATTGCCAATAAGATGCTTACAGTTTTAACGTTTTCAACATGTGGTTCAGCCCACTTTTCAACTTGAGCTTTTGCTTCCGTCACCTACTCAATAAAAAGTAAACTTCATTAGCCAGACGCTCTCATACTGTTTAGAGGCATAAATCTCAATAGGAGTATAGGACAAAATTTAAACAGTACCTTTAGAATTACTGTCTCCACAGCAGGTTTCCCATGGGCCTCCCAATGTGTCTCGGTATAAGTCTACGGGTACATGAAATTCCCTATGTTAATTGGGGGAAAAACTGCTATATTACAAAACTGTAAAAAGGCCAGCATAAAACTTGCCTGAAATTTAAACCAGTGAAGAGCAAGCCAAGGGGGAAGCCACGAACCATGAGCCTGAGTAAATAAAACAATTGATATTAGCTTTCTGCTGAATTCCAGATTCCAGGCTCTGCTAATTTCCCACACAGTGAAATATCTACTGCTATAATAGCTTCAGAGACAGCCAAATGTAAAACTGTGTCAAACCAATACCTCCAGCAGTTCCTTAGCCTTTGTGGTTGCCTCAAGCTTTGTCCTCAACATTTCTTCCTGAAATTTAAAATTTGGAAAAAAAGCTATGTGAGGCAGAAACCAAAGGCATAGAAATCTAATTTAATAAGAGGTTACTGTACCTCAGCTATCTTAATAGCACGTTCAAGTTTTCCTATTTTGTTCTTCTGCTCTTCATTTGTCTTCTGAAGCTGCAAGACATCAGATACCATAATTAAAATCTTCAGGACATTACTATAAGAATTGGCTCAACCAAAAGTACATATCCAAAGAAGCATTGTCGACGGTATAGTTCAAAGGAGGGAAGTAAAAAAGTTCTGATGGTCTAATCAGATTGCATAATGAAACCTGTTCAAAAGAATTCCCATACAACTCAAGCCCGAATTTAGATCAAACACGAGTATCAAATCATGCAAGGAGCTGTCCTAATGAGATCTAATATAGCTGAGAATGGAAACTGCAATGGTAATAACATAGCATAAATGACGAGGCTTAGAACATGAAGATATTTTGACATCAACCTTAAACAAAGACTAGCTAAAGCTGAGATTAAAAAAGTAACTAAGCATTTACCATGTCCCTTAGAGAAAAAACAAATGGAACAGTGTAATGGAAAAATGAAACGAGAGATGTAAAGAAACATACTTTGTCAAGGCTTGAGTTTAGTTCACTTAGTTTTTTCTCAGCTTCATTAGTCCGAGCTTCAGTGGAATCTTTCTCCTTGTTTTTTTGCTCCAAGAAGTTTTTGAGTACCTCTACCTGAATGGCAGAAGTAGCATCATAAAAAAATCAGATATCCGTTTGCAAATTCTAGCAATATAAACAGATTGGGTTCTTGAACATAAAGTCTCACCTGCTTCTCCAATTCAGCAGCTCGCGCTTGAGCCTTTCCCAAATGTTTTGCAGAATCTGATGATCCCTTTTTCTGGAGAGGAGTGAAAGCACACAGATCAGGTGTAAGCCAAAGATGAAAACAATTTACGACACGTTTCAAACAAGTAGATGAAACTGAAACCATATAAGATCCATACTTGTAGTGATGAGACTTCAGTCTGCAAGGAAGAAATCTTGTCTTCCTTTTCTTTGAGAAGTTTCTCCTTCTCTGCTACTACCTCATCTTTGCCCTGAACTTCCCGGGTTTTCTCATCGATTTGGGATTCTTCAAAACGAAACAAAAAGAAAACATAAAGCTCAAAAACCAAAATTTGCATTCACCAAATAAAAAGGCTATAACAAGCTCGAAACAGGACGGATTATGCAAATGCCACAAAACCATAGCAAGCAATTCGAGATTGGGGACAAGTAAACACGATTCACATCTGAAATCGATCCAAAAGATACTAATTTAAGTCAATGCTATAAGAAAAGAAACACATCAAGTAGCTGAAACAGTAATTCTATCAGCGTCCAACTAAAAACATGCGAACTATGCAGATTCCGATCTCAATACGAATTAAAGTAAAATAAAAATCAAAACTTTGCAATCAATCGATCAGAGGGAAGAGTCTGAACAATGCAAGTCGCTAACTAACCTAGGGCACGGATCTTGGCAGTAAGCTGATCCAGTTGGATCTTGGAAGAGCCATCGGATCCGGCAGCCTCAGAAATCTCCGGCTCATCAGCATCGGCGAAGACGCTGGTGGTGAAAAGCAAGGCAAGAAGTAACAAAGCGACGAGCTTCGCAGCCGCCATGTCTAGATTCACCACCGTCGATCAACGAAAAGGGACGGAGATTCCAACAAACAAGAGAAACGTTTCCTTCTCTGCACTCACGATCTCTCTATATATATTTTTATGAAGGTGTTTTTTTGACCATGGACCGTAGAAATTTCTTAACTTTGTTTTGTTGTGTTTTAGACAGAGAAAAAAAGCGTGCAAAGACGAGAGAAAAGTACTTATGTGTTGACAACGTGAGGTTAATGGCTTCGTGGGTTTGTCGTGACCGACGATGACACGCGGCATCCATCGGATTTCACATTAATGACGTGGCGTAAATCCAATGGTTGATCCTTTTTATTTATTTTTCGGTAACCATTTACCAGTCGATATTATTGTCCTTTTTCGGAAGCAATTCAATCAGATCTCCAATTTATGATATTCATCTACTTGCCTGCTAAATTGCTAATGAGTGTAGTAATAATTTTACTACGTCCGGCTTAACTTCAGAAAAACAAACAAAAAATTAATCCGAATGTGTTACAAACTTTCAATACATATTCTTATACTGTATGAAAAACGAAGATGTGCTCTATATTTTCAAGATTTTCTTATATATATTTATATATATATATGTATACAAGTATATATGTATGTAGGAAATGTGTATTTATCATCTATCATCAATGCACACCATACTTTGTGGGATATGTATGGTCCAGCAGTGCGTGTGCCATTTAATTTCTCGTTAAATTAAGCAAACTTCTATTCTGAATTTTTCGATACTCGTTTGTTTATTTATTCAACGAAATTTGCAATGTATAACATTGCCTGAGAGCTTAAGAATCTTTGTTTTTCTCTCCAAGCAACAGCGGCCTTTTTATAAGTATATCTTATTATTTTGCTTGATCCAACACAGTTTACCCTAATTTTAAAAGAATTTATGTAAAGGTTGGAATCACGATTCGCGATAGCTAAATCTATACGATTGATTAGGATCCCTTAGTCATGACAATAAGTACCGCTGGATTATCAGAGATGTGTCTGGTCTATCATTTGCTTTATGACATTAACCAAATTATAATAGTTTTAACAAAACAAAGAATAAATTAATTAGCAACTACTCAATAATATATACGTGGTACGTGGAGTACGCCAACTCAGACCAGAAGCAATGACATTAACGTAATTTATCCTTTCATTAATAACTAGTTATAATCTCCCGTATATGAAGCAAAGCCTAATTGAAATGAATCGAATTATTGGTAATATATTCCAAAGTTGCGGTCTCATATCGAATCATCACTCATCAGCCTCACAATTCTTTGTTCTTCTCTAAGTTTCCCAAAAAATAAAACTGGGAAGAAGATTATAGTCTATATATGATTCACATTAAAACAAAAAAAACTATAGTTTTATGATTTCTTTTAACTTATTAATTAGTAAAACAAATATCCAAGTGAGTAAGGTATGATGCTGATCAAACACAAAACAGTGCAGTGACCTTCCAAACTTTATGTTGTGGTTGCGTTTTGTTAAATCATTACAGAGACAGTCTGCTTCCTTAGTTGCTTTCGAGGTAATATATCATCTTAGCCCAAGCATCTGTGGTCTAGTGGCAGAAGAAGCTTTGGAAAAGGGTGAAACTCCCAAACCTGAGTTCGATTCTCCCTGGAAACAAAAACACATTTGTTTGGGAAGTCTGTCAGTTGGACTTTGGCCCAATTGGTTTACCTGGTAGCTAGAAATGCAGACGGCCTGACTACCCCCTGGCACTTAGTCGGAAGGCATTCCAAACTCGGGATAGGCAGAGTGGTAGCCCGTAAGGGCCTAACCGTTAACACGGTGGACCAATCCACTATGTAGCACCTCGGTGCGTTCCTACCAGGGCCGACCGGATAGCCGATAGGGTTTATAAAAAAAAAAAATCATCTTATCCTTGGCTTTGAGCTTCTACTTTAATTCTTCAAATGCCTTTCGTCATATTCTCTTGACATTTTTTTTTTTTTTGATGAAAGGCTTTCAATAAAAATGAAGAAAAAGAGAAAAACATTACATGCCTAATAGGCCACAGTGTATATTTCAATAATTTAGGCCCATTTAAGGACAGCCCATATATAGTATTTTTGCGAGCATTAATAATTGGCTATCTCGTGGTTAAATGGTCAGTAACTACAAATTAGTGGCTATTATATATTATCCATGAAATTTGTCTATTACCAATCCAAAGCTAGTTTGCAACGGATCCATAAATTTTTAAATACGAAAATTTCCATCTGTAAAATTGTAATTATTTGTAGCGTGAAGTAGCTTTTTCTATACCTAATCTAACAAAAATTGAAAATATCTATGAAAATAAGAGTTAGTTAACAAATAATTTTAATTTAGGCGAACATAGTCTTCTGAACTAGATTCGGATATAATTAGCTATATAGCATCATATATGAATTGACATCTCTAAACGAGTTCTAAACATTTTGATTTCATACTACGCAGAGAAAATAATCGTGTAGGTATATTTCTACATTGTCTTAGGGAGGAGTTATATACATAGGCTCGTGACGACTGGTTCCTAACACATAACATAACAACTTAACTAACTAAAAAAAAAAAAAAACTAACTAAGACAGATACTAATGCACGGAATAAATGTGAACATCACATTTTTTGTCCCGTTTCTTGCCCAACGTAAGCCACATGCACTATAAACACCAGCTAACAGAAAAAAAAAAAAAAAAAAAAAAACGTACATACCAAGAGAGCTGTGCGATATGCTGATACGTTATAAAGTCACCCACATGGAAATGCCAATAATAACGCTCAATAAACCAAAACGTGACATATTATATTACACACACAAAATACATACGGCCGAAAAACCCTAATCTATGATAATTATAACGCATAATTTAATAAGATTTTTTTTCTTTTCTTAATCGAAAGATCTAAAATTGAAAGCTAAACTATAATCTTCGAAACTTTTCAACTTCCATGTAAATTCTTCATGCGTTCAGTTGTCCTGGCCGTAACCAATAGGACGATAATATCACTTAATTACAAGCACTTGTTCTACTGACGAAAACTCGATTCTACACAGATCCAAAACTAGACTTTTGATCGAGTTTTTTTCTTTCTTTACCGAAGAAGAAGAAATCGAGGTTATAAAGAAGAGGAACCATCACGACCGAGCACAAAAACACAAGCACCGGTCCAAATATCCAAAGCATCAAAGGCAACGCCGCATAGAACAACCGATTCCCCACAGTATTCAAAACAAACCCTCTCTCTAGCAATTCCGCCACGTACTCCTCTGCCGTCATCATCATCTCATCCTCCAATTCCTCAGGAGAAAAAGGAGTGTTGATGAGGATGTTGACTTGGTTGATGAAACGAATTGAGAGAGAGTGGGAGAAGAAGGAGAAGAGGAAGATGGTGAGGATCGTGACGTACTTGAGAGCCACCATGAACTCTCCGCGAGCTCCAAAAACGGCGTCGTTTAGAGGCTTCTTCACTGCGTATGTGCTGCTTAAAACCGCAGCTAGACCAGCGCAGAGGAGGATCGATGTTGTTGCCATCAAAGTCGACCCCATTATGCAGTTTCTCAGCGTTTGAACGGCCAAGATGTTCTTCTTCTCGTTGTCCTAATTTAATCAAATACATATAGGATCATATATTTATGTGTGCGAAGATGTTTATATAAGAAAATTGAAGTTACCTTGATGATGGAAGCGACCCAGAAACGGCGAGCTCTAGCGTTAGTGCCGATGATAGTGGTGAGAGGCTGTGTACGTAACTTATGCCACAAGTAAACATGGTAAGATGCATACACCATAAGCCCTAGCGGCACCAAGATCACATCTAAATAACATTCTCTCCATTCCATTTCTTCTTCAAAACTTATCGAAGTTTCTATCTTCTTTTTTGTGACGCCGTTTTATATGTGACTTATTGGAAGGTTTAAAGACCCTATTTATAAGAAAAATGATAATGAAACGATAACCAAATAATTGATAATTAATTAACAAAAAGGAAAATTCATAATGAACCTGATTTTTTCTTTGAGAAATGACATAAAGGTACGTGGGGTGGATGGAGGGGATGACGTGGCATATATTTGTCCTTTTGTTCGCCATTGTTGTTTCCAAAGTGATCTCTCTCTCTTTTTTTCTTCCTTCTTTTTCAACAAGTGATCTCTAGTTGGAGCCCATATCATAGTATATACTCTCTCCGTTTCATAAAGAATGTCGTTTTAAGGTTTTATTTTTGTTTCACAAAGAGTGTCGTTTTAGGTTTTCAATGCAAAATTTAATGATTTTTTTATGTTTTATGACTATTAGTATTCTGCATATTGTTTTACTATTGGGCAGATTATGTTTAGGTATATAGTTAATGATGTTTTTGTTTAGAAAAAACAAAAAATTTAATGTTTTCTTAATCTGTGTGCAAAACTCTAAAATGACACTCTTTGTAAAACAGAGGGAGTATAATTCTTGCACGCTTTTAATTTGATTTCTATCTTCTATCATTTCTTTTTCTTTCTTCTTCTAGTCATATATACTTCTTTTTTTTAAAGGAGCTATGTTAATCATGCATGTTTCGTGTATATGTAGCCGTCAAGTAAAGTTTATGTTATTCCACAAAATAGATGTTGTGTGTTTATGTTTTAGTAGATGGATACTTACAAAGTGATGAAAAAAAGGATGTTTACAAAGTATACAACTTATTAAAATAGATGTGTGTGTTTATATTTTATCAGATGGTTATTTATTTTCCAAATACACGTTGCATTAGTTGTAAAAACATTATTTTAATTTCTGATCTATATATTCTTGAAAGGATATCGATATGATTTGATGTATATATGTATCTATACATTAATACATGCATCACGTTGACACGTATGTTACATACAATAAAGTTTCGAAACCAATAGTCGGATTGCTTTCCTCATACCTGGTGAATCTGACAAATATATCTTACAAATTAAATTATTAAATTATAATAGACTATGGAAATGGAGCAATAAAAAACCTGCCAATAACTAGTACTGCATAATGTCTCGATGATACAAAATGAGTGAAATCTGACGAGGACCATATACAGATATTGTGGGTGATTAGTATATGAGCAAGATAAGACATAGGCACGAGATGAGGCCGACCTTTATCCATCGCCGATTAGTTTCATGCTTCCCTCTCATCATGACTAAGTTTAATTGGTTTTTGTGTGTTTCATTCACTATCTTCCTACACGTTGGAATTCTAGCTGTT